CTTGATTTTCGAGTATATTATTACGCGACGATCATTACCATGATCCCGTGAAAACTTCTTCGATCCTATTTCGCCTTTCTCGACATTCTATTACTTTCATCATGCCATTAGCCATATATTCATCTTACTCTTTTATTTTGCGGGCTCAGTTGTTTTGTTTCAACATCCGCAAGGCGCTACTTCGTTTCGGCGGAATTTTGCCGACCGGACCGTGGGGTTCCCGCTTCATGCAGTGTTGCGAGAACCTTCTTTATCATAGCCTCAGACGTTTCACGTCTCGGAACTGCATTCTCGGCCTACAGGGCTAGATGCAGACTGGGGCCGGTACCCATTTCGAGGTCTGAATACGTCACCAGTGTGACGTATTAGGCGACGTGGGACAAGCGTTGTCAAAAGGCGAAAAAGCAGAACCCCTATTCTAGGTCTAGTCTCTTCCGACGACTGGCCGGGATGAGTTTAACATAAAGGCTTGAGGGTTCCACCAAGATGGTTCTTTGTGTCAAGAACAAGGCTGTTGGAACGCCTTGTTGCTACCTCCCACGTGCTTAGCGCGCGAATATCAGAGGACATGGAATGACAAATCTGACGGTATGCTTTTTTCTTGTGCTGGGTTTCGTGCTATTTTGACTTGGTTTACACGTCTTCTTGGGACACTAGCAAAGTGTAGGTCGGCCTGAGCGCTTCTCTGGGCGGCATGCATTGTTTTCGGCGTGTACACCAATCTTTGATGGATAAATTTTTGGGGCGCAAGTGGAAGCCAATCATGTTGGAAAGATGGTGTTCGGTTTGATGATTCGTCAAGGGCGGCGGGAATGCTAGCTCTGACCTATTTTTTCAACGGCGCTGTTTTTCCCACATTCTAGGGCTTACGGCGCGGAATGGGAGGTCTACTCGCGCTGCTTATGTTGGCTTTCGTGTAATTGACGCGTGTGTGTGGTGACAGTGAACGGGTGCCCCGATGACCCTGTAGACCCGGTGGACGAAATGCCCAATGCTGAATCCTGATTTGCCAACGGCGCGCCTCCACCCTTGGGGGTTGTTAAAAGGTACGCTACGGACTGACAGGTGCAAAAGTACCGTGGTAATCGCAGAGAGGGCCGGCATGGTCATTGCGCGGCCAGGCGCTGTTTGAAGCGGACTACACAGTGCCCAGGAAGGGTCTTGTTGGTGTTTGTTCATTTTTTCGGGACAAATCCCAGGCTGTCGCGGCTTCATAAGGCAGAAGGAAATATTAAAAAAGAAAAATGGGCGGCAATTTAGCTAGAGGCAAGCAGTGGACCTGCGTTGCCGCAACCCACAGCTGCAGCAAGCAAGCAACCCGGAGGGCGGCCACCAGGCTTGTCGTCCGTAGCCCCAATCGCACGACGGAAGAGTCAAGTCAAGGCAAGTGTGTAGAAAGGTCCATCTAAAGCCATCTAAAGCCATCTATTACCTGGGTGCTCCCCGCGTCTCTCCTCAGATCCGTCTCTCCCGCCTTTACCGCATCTCGAGGCCGCACCTTTGCCTGCAGCCCAGCGCTCAGCTCCCATCGCAACTTCCATCGTGCGCGCCCAACAAAGACGCCCCACGCAAGACTCAAGCAGGCTTCCTGTGAGCCTTGTGCGATCCCGTTGTGTCGCAGCCACGAGCCTAAGAGGCTTCGCCTTTCAAGGGTCCCTGCAAGGGTAAGCCAGAACTCCCCTCTCGCCCTCTCATTTCTCCTATGTGGACACTGCAGCAATTCGGAAAGCCATCTTGACCAAATCTCCATCCCCCAGCAGACTGCCTTCTCCCGCATCACGACCGCGACAAGGCTCCCGCGCGGCGTTGCTCATCTCCACCTGACGCTCCTTGTACCAGCGGCCCAAGCACGCCAATCTACTGGTTTTTCTTCCTGCTACAGAACCCACCCGCGCCTCACCGAGCAGATCCCTCTCCACCATCACGTCAACAGAGAACCACCGACTCCCATCGAGCATACACAGAAGCTCTCATTATTCTCGCGACAAGTGCGCTACGACCGCCACAATGGTGAAGGTATGCTCCGCAATCATACGGCTTCACGGATTTTGCCGTGGGTGACACCGTGCTGAATGCTCCGCAGTTCCGAAGATCAATGAAGGGAGACAAGGCGGACGTTAAGGCCCACCACATCTCAATACCCCCCAAAGACGCAATAGCAATTGTACCCCCCAAAAAGGTGTGTAGCAATCATCATCACCCGCCTTCCCCGCCAAATAACTCCTTAGGCAGCGAGGCTGCATGACCATAACCGGACTCGAGCTGACCCCCTTCGCCTTGTTCCTATTTAGGTCATTAAAGCGCTCTATGACTATCAGGCTCCGGATACGAATCCAAACTCTGGCTACCTCAGCTTTTCCCAAGGCGATTTTCTACACGTTGTGGGCCGAGAAAACGATACGGATTGGTATGAAGCATGCAATCCATTGCAGGGCACGAGAGGCCTTGTGCCAGTGACATATTTTGAGCCGGTGGGGAAGACTGTGAGGGACAGCGGAAGCTCTACAAAGTCGATTCCATCAAGTCAACCCAGCGCAGGACACGATTCCGGCTACGCAGAAAAAACCTCAGCAGGCAGCAGCGCAAATGGCATCGAAAACGAAGGACCAAAACCAATACGCATATCAAAGGCTCTAGGGAAAGGCCCTGGGGCTATGGTTTATGGCATAGTAATGTACGATTTCAAGGCCGAGAGACCGGACGAGTTGGAAGCGAAGGAGGGAGAAGCCATTATCGTCATTGCGCAATCAAATCCGGAATGGTTTGTCGCAAAACCTATTACCCGACTCGGAGGCCCGGGCCTAATTCCAGCGTCTTTCATCGAGATCAGAGACATGGCAACAGGGCAAGCCGTGCCCGATGCGCAAGAGGCGGTCCAGAGAGCCGGAGTACCAAAGGTCGAGGAATGGAAGAAGATGGCTGCAGACTACAAAAACGGCAGTATTCCTCTTGGAAAACTCGAGTCTAACTCTGCACAATCACTACAGCAAGGTATGGACCGGATGAGTTTGGGTAGCAAGAGTCAGGCCGGGTACGACGCTAATGGTATTCATCAAGGGAACTCTGTAGGTATTGCCTAATTCTTCTTTTCTCCGTTCTCGAAGCTGACCGGGTTTGTTTCATAGACGATTTCACATTCTCGAAGCCCCAGCTCATATCAAAACCAACAGCAATTTCGCAATTCCGCTTCAGGGCTCCTTGCTCCGGTAAAAGCATGTGTTCCGCGGTATTGTTTCGCAGATGATATTTTCTGGTTTATTATTGAATGTCAGATGGAGGATGGCAGGCATTGGGAGCTTCAACGCCTGTATCAAGACTTTTACGACCTCCAGATTCAGCTCATCGCAGCTTTCCCTGTCGAAGCTGGCACTGTCAAGGACACCGAGCGGACTTTGCCATTTATGCCTGGACCAGTCACATACGTAACCGACAACATCTCTAACGGCCGTCGAGCTAATCTCGATGAATATATTAAGAATCTCCTGAAACTAGGGCCTCACATTACGCAGGGTACATTAGTCAAAAACTTCTTCGCTCCTCGTCAAGGTGACTACGAAATCGATCCGGATGTCGTTGTTGCAGAGGAGTATCGGTTATCGCAAACCTCTCAGCAATCCTCAGGCCCCTCACAAGGTGACTCCCGTCAATCTTCTGCCGACCATCTCCAATCCACAACTCCGCAAACAGCTTATTCCAACGCCTCCTATCCATCTCAGGCAAACCACCAGCGCGGCCAGGCCTCCATATCCGGTCAACAACCAAATGCATCCCAACACTACCGCACCCAATCCGATCTCTCCGCACCAGCACCCACGCTACGACAGGGCTCTGTCATAAGCTCAGCTACGTCCACCCTAAATGGTGCAGCACTCAAGATTAAAGTCTGGTTCGAGGAAGATAACTGCGCCATTATCCGCATGCCCCAGACCTTCCGCTTCGACGACTTATATAAGAAGCTGAAAGAGCGACGAGCGCTGGAGCGGCCAGAGGAAGAGGATCAGGAAGAGTTGGCTGTGGAGTACAGGGATGAGATTGAAGGGCGGTTTTATCCCATCGAGAATGACGATGATTTGGCTGTGGCAGTGGATAGGAATCCAAAGCTGACGCTAAGTGTAACTGCTATGAGGTAAAATGGAGTTTCTAAGCAAGACGCTGTAGTGACTATCTTTCGTGGCTATCTTTCGTTTCTTCGCTTCTAAGATTCCGAGGTAGGGCGAGCTCCTAGCCTAGTTGAATCTTTTTTTTATATGGGTGGGTGGTGGGTAAGAGGCGGTCTCTAGAGCGAGCTTAGGGGACGGCAGGATCATATGGTCTGCGCATCCCCGATCACGAAACCGAATTCACCTTTTTCTACCCTTTTTTTTTCAGACCGCTCGCGTTTCGGACATGCTATCCCTGGATCGGCTCGCGGCGTCTCCGGTGCATTCGGCGTATCGAGCGTTCTTTGCTATACGGGTGTTTCTTTTGTCTCTTGGGTCTGCTCTCGTTTTCTTCGATGGGGTTTCGGTCGGTATCGGTATCACCAGTGTTTCTTTATCTGTGGCTTATTCACCGGAGGATACGCGGAATTCGGGTATGATCTAGTTGTTGGATGGACGGTATGACTACAAGAGTTTGGGATTTGCGTTGTTGTGTTGCATGTCATTTTGCTTTGTCTTTGGGGAGCGGAAGGTTTTAGCTGAGGTGTAAAGGTCAGGGAAAAACTTGTCACGGTAGCTATTTTCTGGATAGTGAAGGTAGTGAAGGCGCGTTTGACTTGGCTTGCGAGAGTCTGCTTGTCCTTTTTCTCTGGATACATCTGGTTGAGTACCAAAATCGCTTAGTGGGGATGTTTTTCAGGGGGCGTAAGGGGTAATTGCTGGTGAATACATTTATTCTTGGACTTCTCCACGCCCTGGAAGCCTCCTAGATGCCGAGTCTAGGTCTTAATCCGGACGACCCTAATTGTTGATACGCAAAAAGCATAAGGTGCCTATGAAGCATGAAGAGGTAAAAAGAAGTTCCGTCGCCGGGAATCGAACCCGGGCCTTGCCGGCACTTTTTAAGCTCTTAAGAATGAGAGCGGCACTATTTAATTGTTAATTCGTATGTATAAGGTGTTGTTGAGGCTACTTACAATCCTAGCCCCTAGACCACAACGGATTGAACGAGAACTAAAAAATTTTAATACATGTACACTTATAATTAGCAGTGATTACTGTGGAAGACATAAAAGCTGGGTATGTAAGTCTTTTAGTGTTCAGTTTCCAGAACCGTGGGTAGCCGAAGTGAAAACTAAGATGGCGTAACGGGCATGTAGGAAGAAATAACAACGCCAGTAAATAAACTCTAAAATGTGCTAGAGTACTTCCTAACTATTATGTTTAAGGACTGGATTCAGGCTAGGAATAGGAAATGCAAGTGTTTAAGGACTTGGATCAACCCTTGAGGTGCTTGAGTGGACCTGTTGTGGTAGGAGGACTGAAGAAGTCCAAGATTGGGTTTTTTGCCCATTAACAAAGGAATGGAGAGTTCCGTTCATTGCTAGTATAACTTACAGCATAGCGTCTCTCTAGGACTCTCGTATTGTACTAATGTGAGCCTACCTGTCGCGCCCGGAATTACAACACTGCTCTTAGACTGTGGTATTTTCTTGTCAACCCAGCCTAAATACCCACACAAAGGACCGCAGATGGGGTTCACAAGTATGTCTCGTACCGAACAGAAACCCCATACTGACGCCCATCCATAGAAGAACTAGCTTCATGCGTAGAGGTGGTGCATGTTCTACTGGCAATTATTCCCCCATTGCTTTTCGTTATTACAAAAATATATAGAACCAGTAAGTTACACTTAGTATAAGCAGAGCCAGAAGCATGAATTATGCCTATCGCGCCTTTCAAACACTATCAATTCCAGTATCAAAGAACAAAAATAGCGATATTAAAGTCTGATTGAAGTACGACCGCACTTTCGACAAGCCTGTTACTACACCACTGCCTCTAGATTCAAGATATGGAGTAGAAGTAGAGGTGCTATCAGGGGCACCCGACAGAAAGGAGCGAGAGGATGATCTAAACGGGCTAAATCATATCTGTAGCAGACTCCCAGTATCGCTTTGGCAAAAGAGGAGGGAAAAAACACCGACATGCTCCCATCGTCATGCTGTGTAACGTGAAGGTTTCAGCTTTCTACCCTGGACCTAGGGTAGATAGGGTAGAATCCATCCTTCGGACTATGCAATCCTCTGTCACATCCACAAATAGATCGTGTGAGAGATAGGGGCTATCTTGTGCAGTATTCCACCTCAGGCCTACTTCTTTAATGTATATGTACTGCTCTTTTCTTCCTTTGCTTTATTCCAATTGCTATTACACTAAACTCTGTTACACGGGAATGCAGGTGTATAGTGGTGTGAGGACTCCATAAGGTAGAGTAGTCTCAAAGGATGAGAATATATACTTGTCTCAGCATGCTCAGACCACATGGGACGCCGGATAAATCTAGCCCGATGGCACTAAACCAGTTTAGGCCATCTGTCCCTGTGTGGTCTAAGACACTTTAGCCAACATTTGTAAAGCACGTCGCGATATCCGCATGGCTAATATTACGGATATTTACTTCTTATTCTTACAATAAGTTTAGGTAGCTTAAAAAATCCATTAATTATACACTAGGCTCCGGCAAATTAAATAGTTTATATAAGAAGTCTCCCCACCTTCCCGTTCCTAATATTAATTTTAAAATAGCTATAACGCGGTTTACTAAAGTAAATAATCAGTAATATCCGTATTAACGACGTGTTAATCTTAACCACTTACTCTCTATCCATTATATCCATAATCTAATAATTAAAACCTATTAAGATCTATCTATTATAACGTGTTTAAGTCCTCCCTACCTTTATTTAACCCTCTATTCTCCCTCTACTGCTTTTAAGCGCTATTTACTAATACCTCTATTAAAGTAAATAAGATAAAAAGGTTATAAACTATAAGCCAGTTAAGTAGATTAATAAGCTAGTAGTACGCAATAGGCTAGGGATTATATTAAAATGGATTTCTAGCGGTCTCTACGGCTATATAGCCTATAGAGGGAGCTACCCTAGCTTATAAGCAGCTCTTATAAACTTTAAATAAGTAAGCTAGATGAAGCTATTACGGAGATATATTTATACCGTGGTTATACAGAGCAGCTTGAGGCCCTAAGGGTGCTGATATTTAAGCGGCGAGATCTTATACTTATAGCAAAAACATTTTTTAGTAAGAGTATAATAATATAAGCACTACTATATCTTATACCTAATATAGTTATTATTATTATTCTTCTACTTAACGCAATTGGGTTAGAGTAAGTAAAAAAGATTATAAAGCTACCTTATATTCGACCTATTTATATATAAGAGAAAACAATATCCGCTGAGCTAATTAAGGATATCCGCATAGGCAGCTATATATATATCCTTATCTCCCTAGAGCTTTTAGTTAGTAATAAGCTATATAAGGTTCTAATAGACCCAATATTTCGTTCCTATGTTGCCCTTATAGTGGTTAATAAAGTACACCTACTTACTAATTAGGGAGAGACCTTCCGTATAGCGTACACACAACTTTTTAAAGTACGTTTAGTCTTAGTTAATAAGCCTTAGTTTATATATACTGTAATACTAAACCTATCTACGTTTTGGACTATATATAAGCTAGCTAGGTTTAAACCTAATATATAAGTTATTAAAACCCTAATTAATTAGCCGGAGCTAAAGATTATATAGAGGGTTATAACCGCGCTAGAGAAGAAGGACTTTTAAGCTCTTTACTTTACTATTACTACTACTCTAGTGTATTTATATACTGCTAGTAATAATAACTAAGGAAAAGGTAAGCAATTAAAAAGCCGCTTAATATCCGTATAGTAGATATACCGCTAATAGTTTAATTAACTTTAGCTAATTCTAAAGACGATTATCTTCTTTAATTCTAAGGAGTAGATAGCTGCCTATTATAATACTATTCGCAGCTAGTTAATCCATCATAGTTATAATGCTGCTATTACTAGAGAAGCGGTATAGAGCTACTATATAACGCTTACGGATATTAATAAAGACCGCTTATACACCAAATACGCGCGCCCAACGTCTCGAATTTAAATTTTTATTATATTAGATGTAGTAGTATATAGTGTAAATGTCCTAGATATCTACCATTTAATCTAATATAGAATACCTCGCCACAAATCCTATAATATACTAGCATAGCGGTTTAGCCAGGTAGGCTAAGGAGAAGGCCTCTTAGGCAAAGCAATCTTTATAGTTAAGAGCCGCTAGCGGGGTCCTTATAATAAATTAGGTGGTTCTAAGCATACACAACCTTAGTGTATAGGCGATCTTTATATAAGTGCGCTGCGTAATAATATCCGCAGGCAACAAAATGTAGAGACTACGGATATTGCGGGCGATGCTTTATCTATAGCATTAGTTAGTACTAAGTAGTTAGTAGATATAAAAAGCGGGCATAGGTTAAGCCCTAGTAGTTCTATAGTACGCCTACCTAAAGAGCTTATTATACCGACCCTACGCCTAAAGAAGCGGTTAACTAATGCGCAGTTATATAGTAAACTGCCGTTTACCCTATAGCGGCTAGTTAATAAGGATTAGGTATGCTTATAAATAATATAACTTACACACTATAGAGACCTATAGTCTACTATTAGTAAAGACTTATGTTATAGTAACTGTAACCTAGTAATATTTATAGATTGCGAGTATAATATCCGCACTAGCTATAGTGCGGATATTACGAAAACCTACCAGGAGCCTATATTAAGCAATATATAGAAGTGGTTTATATAATAGGCGGAGGCTAGGTATTAGGATATATTATAGACGCCTATAGTTAATTATATTATACCAGATAAGCAGCTTTATTGCCTTTATAATATAGGGTAGGTTCTAAATATAGCATTATTAAAGCAAGTAATGCCTAAGTGGGATCCTAATATCCTCGGTAAGGAGCTTCCGTCCCTTATTAAGCTTTTAGCAGATAAGGAACAAAAGCAGAAATAGAAAAAAATAGGGCAACTCTTAGGTTCTTCTAGGTTAATTATATAGATATTAAAGCGGTTTTCCTAAGCGTTAGAGTAGTACGCTGCTATAGATAAGCGCTTATTATAGGCTCTTATATAGGCTTCGCAGGTTTTAAATAAGAGATTTAAAATATTAGCGCCATAGCAATTAGCGCCTTATTATAGCGCTAATATATTATAGGCTAGTTAACAGTTAGCTATAAACCTCTTACTAATAACTTAGGAAGAGGATATACCTATACCTTCGCTAACTCTTAGGTCTCTAGCTCCTACTCCTCTATTATTACCCTTATACTAGCCGTTAGATATATCTATGCCACTAGTAACCCACTAGTTAGATACGTCTTTATTAGTACTATAAAGGCAGTTAGCGCGATTAAATAGAGGTAAATATATGCAAAGAGCACTATAGAAAATTAATAGTAACGCTAATTAGTATATAGCGGGCTAATATTAAGTAAGGTTAGTTAATATTAGGCGGGGTTAGCTAATACTAGGTAAGTTTACCTTATATCCGCTAAGCGGATATTATAACCATAGTAGCTAATATTTATTAGGATAACGCCCCCCCTTCCCCTTATACCCTATACCCCTAATAAGCGCGGCCTAGGAACTAAATAGATTAATTAATTAATAATATTAATTACTTAGGAATATATACTAGTGCTACTAACTATAGCGGATATTAAACGGTTATAGTAATAGCTTATAGCTAATATCTTATATTACTTATTAAGCAACTTATACGTAGGTTAAAGCTAGGTTTAAGTAAAGTTAGTAGGGAGTATAAAGCCATCTAGCTCATTATTATTATTATAAAGATTAAGCTTATTAAATATAGCGGAAAGATCACCGCCTAGCTATAAATTAAACTCGTTAAGGGCAGATTAATTAAGTCGTTTAATACCTAGTTATAATAGAGGCGGCGCTTCTATCTTTGCTTGCCATGCCTAACGGCAGATAATAGAACCTTCGGCAATTGTATTAGCAAGCGATTAAATATCCGCTATAGGAGATTTAACAGTATATTAAGTAGATATCCGTTTACCAAATATAATCTTAAACTTTGCACGTAGTGGCCC